TGCAGGTGTTAGAGAGGAGCCGGGTTGAAGACGCCGAGCATGCCGACGAAGCAAGCAGAGCAGCTATGAAGCACATGGAAGAAGAGCTGGTGAAGACAAGGACCTTGCTCGGGGAGGAGGAGAGGGCGAGGGGGGAAGCGAACGAGTTGATCGAAGGCTACAAGTCTGCGATGAAGGAGAAGGAGGAGGAGCTGGAGGAGCTGAAGAGTTTGTGCTCGTCTCTGAGGTCGGAGTCTGACCAGAAGGAGAAGTTGATGTCGAAATTCTCGGAGCTGAAGAAGACGTAGAGTGACATGCAGGCATCGGCTGTGAATGACTTTGACGCAGCCTTGAAGCCGTCATCGAAGAAAAGGAGATACTCGAGTCAAGATTGGCGGAAATGGAGGAAGAGAGGGGAGGTAACGCTGAAGCTAGCCAGCAGCTTGCTGCAGCAGAGATGAAGTAAGAGGAGGAGGAGGAGGAGGAGGAGGAGTAGGAGGAGGAGGAGAAGTTTACCTCGCATCTCACTTTGTCATCGTCGCCAGGAGAATAGAAGCAGAGGGGAAGTACGCCGAGTCCTTGAGTCAGGTGAACTTGACGTGCGATGTGGCTGTGAGACGACCCATGAGTGCTTCTTGTCAGATCAAACAACTCGAGGAGAAGCTAGAGCAGAAGCAGAAGGAAGTAGAATCGATGACATCGGAGCAGGGCAAGGTGAGGTTCATCCGCAGTCAGGGAGGGAGGCGGGTAGGGGGAAGGGAAAGCAAGAAGATGATGGGGATGGGGATGGGAATGGGGAGGAGATCAGAGAGCGGTCAATGGGAGAGCTGAGTAGATGACTGGCGATCGAGCAGGTGGAGGAGAGAGACTCGGCGATGAGAGAACAAGCCCGTCAGGTGGGTCCAGCTACACCCCTGCGACCTTTCCCTCCCCAGCCTTCACACGCCTTCCCAGCTGCAGGAGGCGATCGAAGAGCGTGACCGGCTGAGGTCTCAGGTGGGAGGCGACGAGGCGGCAAGATGACTTGGGTCAAAGTCCTTGACACTACTGCTTTCAGATCGCTGACAGCGCGTACTCGGGCGAGCTGCTGGAGAAGGCTCGGCAGGTGAACATCAGCTGGGGTCGAGCTAGGGGGGGGGGGGGGTTCTGAGCTCTTTGAACGTAGGACCTGGAGGACTATAAGAGGCAACACAAAAGTACGTTAGCTAACTTGTTTTCTCCTTCCTCTTCTGTCCCCTCCCTCCTCTCGCTGGCGCGCTCCTTCTCTCCCTTACACTCACTTTCAACGTCGTCCAGGTGACCGCACTCGCTTCACGCAAGAGATCTCGTTGCTTCAGGAGCAGGTTGCTGCTGCTGGAACTTGATCTGGGACTAGATGAGAAGAAAAGCAGGACAAGGATGGGAGAGAGGAGGGGGAGCGAGAGGAGGAGGAATGGTTGGAGGGGAGGGCAGGAAGTGGTAGGGAGGAAAGGAGCGAGAATGGGAGAGGGAGAGGACGGAAAGGGCAAAACTTACTTATCTGCAGATTTCAAATTCGAACCAAAGTGTTGAAACCTTAACGGTCAGTGCTGCTGAGATGTTCCTCCTGCTGGGCTGAAAGCAGGAGCAGGAGGAGCGAGACCGAGCCATCGCCGACTACAACCGCATCGAAGAGATCCTGCAGGAGAAGTCGCTGGTGGGAGCGAGGGAGGGGAGGGGGGGGGGGGGGGA